CCCCTATATAGCATTTTATGCATTTAGCCTTCTGCCAGGAGGGAACATCACCTATGCACGAGGAGTCATAATTGGGCATAACTCCCTCATACGAACTCCGAATGACGAACCGTCAGTTGCGTATCCTGCGTCTCGACATCACGAACGTTTCGGTATTCTTGGTTCCTTCAGGTTCCTTCCGTAACCTTCGGAAATACCCAAAATACCCTTCACAAGTGCAACCCGGCCAACACCAACCATTCTAGCTCTTAAGCTCTAGCCTTTTCCACACTTAGACTTCCTCTTAAGCGCATAGATGTTCCAACGGAGTCACGGTAGCACTTGTCTATGTGCGACCCGTGACATTCTCCCCCACTGATAGTGTCGACGTCCTCGTCGACGTGCCCCACTGCACTGTCGACTTCAGAATCACGATAGCACTCACTTATGTGCGATCCGTGACATTCTCCCCCACTGATAATGGCGACGTCCTCGTCGACATGCCCACTGCATTGTTGCATAACAACACCATATAGGAATATCCTCTTCTCTTCGCTCCAAGGACCACAAAGCACCACTGCCTTAACCCTTCTTAACTTATCTTTCAAAGTTATATTCCTTTCCCTCTCTTGGGCCGAGACCTCTGTCTCTTGTCGCACTTAACCATTGAACAATCACATAGCTCGTTGGTCAAGTACTTCCACATTTTCCACATTAAAAAGATGCACCCCACCCGGGTGTGACTCGAAAGCCAACCGTGTGTCCTCCACGGCACCCCCATTTGTTCGTGCTCCTGCACTGCCATACTTCCAAGGCATTCGAGGTTCTCCCCTACTTATCTCGTTGGCACACCTTCACCTCAAGGTGTCTCCACAGCAAAGTTCCACCACACTTAGGCCATCACTGCCATCGAGTGCGGACAGACTCATGTCCTTAGAAACCATGCTCACAAGTGAGACTCCGGGATCTACCTCTTTGGAACACTCCCTCGTTCCGAAAATCAGTTAGCAACCTTGTGTCAACCATTGTGCCTCACCCACCTGTTCTCAACAATTGTAAGAGCAACCACTTAAGTGACTCCTTCATTAAAGCCTAGCCCGTCAGCGACTTACTCCCCAATGGAGCCTAGCCCGTCAGCGACTTACTCCCTTCGAAGACTGCACCATTCCGGTCTTGAGCTCCCACAACCTTTCCCCCGAACAAAAGTCTTGCACCATCCGTTCAACACTCATCACCAACCGACTTCAACACAATCACTTATGGCATGCGATGGTTTGAGTATTGCCAATCTTCGGCACTCTCACCAAGTTCCGCTGCCATCATCCTCAATGAACTTCGTGGGTCTCCCCCACTTATCTCGTCGACGCACCCTCACGTCAACGTACCTCCGAAGCAAAGCTCTACAACACTTTAGGCCTTTGCAACTCACCAAGGTTCAATGTCATCCCTACTACGAGTAGAACCACCTAACCAACGCTCAAACTTGACCTTGGTAGGACATACTTCCGTAGCATCCCCAAGGGAACAAGTAAGACATCCTCCCTCAAGTTACTCCATCTTCGGCCTCCCACAAAGTGCGGACGTACTGTGTCCTTAGCTACCATCCTCATAAGAAAGACTCTGGGATCCACCTTTGGAACACTCCAACATTCCGAATATTAGTTCACAACCATGTGTCAAACATTATGCATCACCCCCACGTTCTCCACAGTTGCAAGA